ACACTCACCGGCACTGGCTGGCTCTCCTCTCGCCGCCGTTGGTCTCGCGGCCGCCAGCGGCTCTTCCCCCTCCTCCTCCTCCGCCTCCTCCAGTGCCGCCGTCGCCCAGGCCGGGCCGCGCTCCTTTTCCGCTTCCGGGAGTCCGAGTGGCTGGGCCGGCGGGGTGTGTATTCGCCTGCCCGCAATGTGCAGTGGTTGGCAGCCGCTGTCGCCGGCTCCGTTTCGCGCCGGGGAGCCACAATGGGAACCGCCGAAGGCCAAAATACCGGAAACCGCAGCGCGGGCGGGAGGAGACGTGCGGCGGACTCAGGCCGCGTGCCTACCGGACCGCCATCAATGGGACACTCGTGCCTGACGCACCTGGGTGCCTTGGCCTTGCGAGCTCTGCTCAAGCCCGCTGTCCTTGTCTCTGTCCCCACATTCATCTTTCCCCTCTCCGACGGTCCAGGTGAGGGGCCTTCCTTTAAGGATCGCATTATCCTCTTTTCTCAAGGGGAGATGGTCATCCGGCCTCTCTCTCCAAAAGGCGTTCTGGATGTCTCCTGGTGCCTTCCGTAAAAGTGCAGCCCGCAGCATCAGCATCCTCCGGGAACTTGTTAGAAATGCACAGTCTCAGGCCTGCTGAATCAGTATCTGCATTTTAACAAGAGCTTCAGGTGATTCCAACGTGTGCACCTTAAAGATTGAAAAGCACCTCTAGTGCATGGTCTTGCCCACTTTAGACCCTCTATGAGAGAAAGCCAAAGTCGCCCCAGCCATCCAAGGTTTTTCCTATTTCTGTCAGCAACCTAAATTCATACCCAAACAAGTTTTACTTAGTATTTCAGGAGACATAAAAAAGTTGCAGGCTTTCCCATCCTGCAACCCTTGGGTAAGTAAGTTGACTCAACATGGCAAATAATCCACCTTCCACTCTAAATTGGTAACTTATCAAACAACCAGAGATAAACTAAAAACTCCCCTCTTGCCCTCACCTCAGCTGAATAGTACTTTGGAAAGGTTAAAATGTTTGCAATAATCTGGAGGTGAATCTTTATGCCTGCATGTCACAGGAGGAGATAATGTGTGGGTGGAAGAAATATTACCTGCTGTATAAAATCTGAACTCCTTATAAGATGTCATTGAAAGCCATCCACAAACTGGTCCCTGCTTACAACTCCAGTCTTATCTCTAACTACTAATTTGGTTCATAAATCCATCTGGAATGGCATCCATCTTACACTCTCATGAACTTAATTCTATCCATCTTACACTCTCATGAACTTAATTCTAAAACTTGGGAGTCAGCTCAAATCCTGCCAGCCTAGAGTTCTTTCTCATAAACATTGTAGTGTATTTTGGTTCCTAATGTTACCTTGTATTGCTGGGTATTTTTAAATGTGTTATGTTTTAGTTTCTGACTTGATTACAAACACCTTGGGACCTTAGAGACTTAGTTTTATCAAAGCATGGTCCGCACACCAGCAGCATCAACATCACACGGGAACTTGTGAGAAGTTTCATATTCTCCAACTCCACCTGAGATCTACTGTATTAGAAACTTTAGGGGTGAAATTCAGCAACCTTGTTTTAACAAGCCTTCCAAGTGATTCTAATGCACACTTGAGTTTTAGAATTACTGACCTAGAATATTTTCTCTTGCCCCCAAAGGAACTCAATGGTAGGGATTGATTTGGCTCTACATAAGTTTTATTGCCTTTCAGACTAAGAAATGTGCTTAACTATTCATGTGTATGTAGCTAGCTAGTTGGAAGGCTATAACAACTGCTTCTGGAAGAAGTATCTGATTTTCATAATGCATTATATGTAGAAGGATTTTTGCAACTTGGTTTGTTTGAAAAGAAATAATCAGATGACAAGTCTCTTTAGGGGAAGAAGAAATGTGGATTTTTACCTCTTATATTTGGGAGAATGTTGCTCTCTCTTAGAATGCCCTTGTGACAGAATAACTTGTGGCAAATGATCTCAACAAGCACCTAAATGAGAATTAGTGAATGGGCACATAATGTACATGACAATTGTAAGTATATATATATATATTTCATGCCTCTTTTTCGTGAGTTAATTTGTCTCTTTTCAGCCAAACCAATACCACAGAGAATTTTCTTTAAAAGCCATGGAAAAGGAGAGGGAGCAGAAGAAACATTCTCAAAATCAGGAGCCCTTTTAGCATGAGCAGTTAAGAAGTATAATCAAGGGTCTCTCTATCCCTTACACTGAAAGTCAAATTATCTAGTCCCTGTCACTCACGCTAGACATAACTATGTTGTCTTGTAATCTATATACCTAGATACCTGTGTCTTAGTGAGAGAGTAAGAGATATGGCATCATGTAATATTTTAGGGAGCTTTCCTATTTCCTATTTACTATTTTCTTATTTTTTCCCTCCAAAATTATAGTCTATTTCATGGTGCCTGTGACTGACAGACATATGATTATTAATCGAACTAATATTTATCTGGGAATTGAAAAAATAGACAAGGACAAGTAGCATTGCTGCCACTGCCAACTTAGCTTCTCAACAAAGGCACAGTCAGGTCATTTATGTGGATAAGCTCAGCCAACTATTGTGCTTCTGTGCTGTGACTGGGAAGGACTGGATTTTCCTGCAATTTCCAAAAGTCAGTGCAAATGCAGTCCAGAGTTTAATCAGTACTGGCTAATAGCCCTTGGCAGCTTTGGGTGAATGGCATTCTCCACCTGCCCAGCTGGGTACCATGCCCTAAGCACCCACTTTTGATGCACATTCATGATTTCTTGGTTGCTTATAGTCATCTCCCCCATCTGTTGAATGGCAGAGTGCCCATTCCACAACAGTCTAATATTCTAATGGTTGTTCTTAACCTCTTTTGGGTTACACATAGCTTTTAGCACCCAATGAAAGTTGTGGACCCTCTTCTTAACAAAGCACAAGCATACACAATTACATAAACATGTACAAATATATTTACACATAAAGTTTCACAAGCTGCTCCACCTTCCCACACCTCAGAGGTGGTCAGAGGACCACAATGAAGTCATGAACATCAGGTTAAGAACTTGCCTTAGGACACAGAGAGTAGGTAAAATAAACTTTTTAAAAAACATATGAAGGATAATTCTAAAAAAACTACTGTGTGCTTAGGAGACAGAACAAAAGCAATGCCAGACAGTTAGTTACAAGCAAAATGCAATGAGAGTGCTGACAAAGCAGCTAGTCGTGTCAGCAAGGTGTTTTATGGAAAAAGTTCTTGCATCAGGTAAGTGAAGATAGAATTTTGATTGGGACAAAGGATCCTTCCAGGATGAAGGAAAGTGTAAGCAAAGGAGGCATGAAAGTACAACAGTTTGACAGAGTACAACAAAATGATAGAACAGTCAGATCATGATGAACTTCAAATAAAATGTTTTTTCCAATGAGGAGCCATTAAGCTTTTGGACTGGGGTGATCTAATCTGGAAAGACCATTAGTGAGGGCAGGGGCATCATCGAGAGTCACAGTGGTGAGCATTTGAAAAAGTTGTTAATATCCTAAATTGGAACCTGTTAGTGAAGCCATGTGGTTTTGCATTAACTTTTTAGAGTTGCCTGATGTTTGCTAGAGAGATTTCTATTAAGTTAAATCAAGATGAACCTGAGATTCATACAGTTGGTTAAGTGCTAGTGAAGAACTGTATCCCACTGAATGATCAGATGAGTTTATAGTTTAGGACTCTGAAGAGTTAAAATGTGTTTGGAATGGAAAGAATGACATGGAAAGAGAAAAAGAAGCCCTGCCACTAATCTTGGGAAGAAGTGATGTTTTGGGCAGGTTACCCTGATCACTCATCCTTTGGAGAAATGTGGGTCAAGGTAGAAGACAGAAGGAATAAGTACTTTTAAAAACTACTTTTGTGTGTAGTATTTTTAGAAGACAGCTTAATTTCATAAGTGGGATTAACAGAGTTCCAAGAAAGAAGTAAAATGGGTCTAGAAAAATGATAAAACATTCTGGTTCAATGTAAAGAACATATTAAAACTAGGGCAATTTTGATGATGCCAACCTCTTTGCATGAAGGAGATTGAGTGAGATTTTTATTGAGAGATTCTATTATGATGAAAATAGCAAAAAGAAATGGGGAAAACCAGAGTTCGTCACCAAGACAAGATCATAAAAAGAGAAAAGAAGACAAGTTAAAATTGGGACCTTAAACAAAGTGTGAGGCAGGAGCACTGGTAGAACCAAGGGTGCAAATCGAAGGGTTATCTTGGGTAGAAAAAGAAACAGTTGATTCTCAAAGTCAGAAGCAAAAGAAGAGCCAGAGAGTGACCAAGTGGAAGATTTTGAAGAGGAGAGGAGGAAAGCTGAGATTTAAAGTTCAATGGTTTCTATCTCTGTGTAGACATAAGAACAGGGAGTGCTAAACTCTCAGAAGGGGAAAGGAGAGAGGGAATTGCTCAGCACCAGGAAAGGAGATGAAGAGGTTGAAGGAGACAGCCCACATGGCTCATTTTGAGATAATATTGACTAGGAGAATAAAATAATCTGGATCTTTCAAGGAAAATGCAGGTTCCAGAGGTAATAAAATAGTACTTTGTGCCAGAGGTAATAAAATAGTACTTTGTGCTGTAACTTAGGACTCTAAAACACTTTGGAGAATTAACTGTCGTTGTTTTCCAAATGTACAAACTCAGCAGATTTGCTTTGGGTTCATTGTATCTACATTAAGTAAATGAAAACATTTAGGCCATCTAACATTTTACCTTTTGACACCCCACAGTGCCACAGCAGGAAGCTTTAGACTTAGCTGGTGAAAATGTGGTTGACATGGGTTACAACAGTAAGTAGAGATGTTTGAGAGAATTCCATAGGCAACGTGAGCTCAGTGTCATGGTAGAGAATAGCACAAGGCAAGCAAACACATAATTAAAGAATTCAGTGGAAGCAGTGGTGAAAGACTGACCAACCTCTTAAAGTGTGCTGACCACGTCTTGGGTTTAATAAATACTTGTGCTGCTTTGGATAGCAGCCAGACTCATAGATACACATACACCACACACACACACACACAGACACACACACACACACACACACACACACACACACACACAGAGAGAGAGAGAGAGAGAGAGAGAGAGAGGGAGAAACATCATTTCTGCTGATATTTTTGTCCTTTGCTCTCTTAGTCAAGGAGTAACTTTCACCGAAACTGCATTAGAAACACAAAAAGTCACTCCCAAGCTCATACTTGTTCTTGCAAGCAACCTCCTTATTCACTGGACCTTTTCCTATTCCATTTTTGTTGAG